TCAAGTCTCTTTTTAAAGTCGTGGTCATGCCCAGCATCTCTAATGTGTGTCATCGTGAAACTGCTACTTAAAGGACACCACAGGAACTGGTCCGCAGATGTGGTGCTCTTTTTTTACTTTTTTTCTTTTTAATTGAAGCCTATCTTACTGGTGTAGGCAATAATATTTAAAATTAGATGAAGTCTCACCTCTGCTGCATCTTGAGGGCCATCACCAATGATGTTTTGGATGGGGCTCTATCAAAGTATGTTGTATTTCAGTCTGTAGTCTGCTGGCTGCCTGACCACTCTGTATATATTAAAATAATATTTCAAGTTTGTATTGAGAGTAGATTTGCAGAGTTAATGCCCAGGAATCTATTGTGGACTCTAGTTTTTAAGGAAGTAATTTCAGAGGGGTTGGGCAGGACACTTTGAAAGGGTGATATGGGGAATGAAATGAGGTGCAAGAAACCTTTACTCACATTTCTTTGGAGCCCTTCTTACTCTTGTTTGCTTTCTTTTATTATTCTTTGCCTTGGTAACTTGGTAGCAATCCAGTCTTCCTGTTTCCTCCCATCCCAAGTCTCCTGTGACTTGAGAATCTTGCACAGCTCTGGAAAAGAGAAATAAGGATAAGGGATTAGTCAAGATGGATTTACAATCTACAGTCATAAAATCATAGAATCATAGAGTGGTTTGGCTTGGAAGAGATCTTAAAGATCATCCCATTCCAGCTGTCCTGCCATGGGCAGGGACATCTTTCACTAGATCAGGCTGCTCAGAGCCCCATCCAGTCCAGCTGGAGCACTGCCAGGGATGGAACATCCACAGCTTCTTGGGGCACATGGTGCAAGGTGTTCTACCTGTGCTGGTTTGGCACCAAAGGCAGCCCACAGAAGTGGATTGATATTTTTTTATTTTTATTTTTTTTTTCCTGAGAGGAGCAGTGAGAGCTTCCTGTATGTCTGACCAAAGCCAATCAGTGGCTGGTTTTGAGAACAGACAACCTGTTCAACCACTGAAGGAGATGGATATGCCTCTGTCCCACTGAGCATCCAGGCGACATTTAACCCTGGCCTGGGCTGAGCTGGGGGGGTCTGCGGGGCCCTGGGAGTGGCTCCAGGCCACAGCTTGGGGGGGAGCTGGGATTTTCCTTCCCCTCTCTGGAATGGAATGCAGCCAAACAGCACCACTGCTCCTCGCTGAGCCCCTGATATCTGGGCCCGGCTGCCTGTGCAGCCTGAAATACTCCACCCCAACTGCTCCAGCCACTGCCCAGGCAAGAGATGAACTCTTTCACTGCCCAGAGTGAGACTTGCAGACACTTGGTTCTCTCTCCTGAGTGAAAGAAAAGGATTGAGATGAAGATACACACAGAAACAGCATGAAAACACCGAGGTTAGACTAAAGGAAAAAGTCAGGTCCCCCCAGATGGAAGAGATTGATGGAGATTGATGCCTCACTCTTGAGCTGAAATTTCTCTTTCTTAAGCTGTGGAGAAGAGACTCTTGTTTCCCTATAACTCATAGAAATGCATTATGGGGTAGATGAAATGTTCTAAATTAATCTGTGCTAAATTAAGCAGATGTTGAACTGGCTGTGATCCCCTAAGTTTGAACAGAGCAGACCCCTGCTTCCCCCCAGGGAAGATAAGAAGAAAGACCTCTGTATTCAAAGATGATGAGAACTTTTGTTTGAACTGTTATATTCCTTAAAGTGTGCCCCATAAGTTGATATGGTCATCAGTAACAGTTGTGGGGAGACTGTTATTCGAGGAAGGGATTTTTGCAGTGCTCAGATTTCCATTCTCCCAGGTGGCTGAGTCACTGTGACATCTAGGCTGTGAGAAAACTGATTGTTGTGGAGAAATTGCCATAGACTGAAGAAAAATCTCCTCTCCCTATGTAAATTAGTGAAAGACTATTTTTTTAGGGATAGTAAACTGACTGATTTGTTTCTGTATGTTGTCAGTGTGAAAGGAAAGTTGTGGAGGGAGGAGAAGTGGTCTGAAAGTTTTATTCTGATTCTCACTACTTTTTCTTATTGTTTCTAATAATAAAGTTTTTCATCATGCCCTCGAAATTTTGAGCCTGTTTTGCTTTCCTCCTAATCCTGTCTCACAGCGGGAAATGAGTAAATAGTTTGAGTGGGCGCACTGGTGATTTAGCCAGTGCTAAACCCAGGACATACCTGAGGCTGGGCATGCCCTGAGAGAGAGGAGTAGCAGTGGTGTAACCTGCAGGGCAGCTGGGACTCGGTCAAGTTTGGAGGTTGAAAGCTGCCTGGGACCTTCTGCTGGTTGCTCATACACCTTCCCATAGTTGAACCTCTACAGCAGGAGCAGGTTCCAAAGTGTTTTCCAAGACTTGATGGTTTGGGAGCACCGATGTACAAAATGCAGCTGCAGAGAAACACAGAGGGATGGAGAGGAGAGGCTGTGCTTGATCCAACACAATGTGATTGCAGCCATGGGGCTGTGCTGACCTCTGGGTGGGAGAAGATTCATTAGGTGCTAAGTGACAAGTTACTTCTGTAGTGGTAAGACTTTCCCAAATATGGAAAAAGACGTGTGCTTTAGTGAATCTTTCAGGGAAAGTCTGAAAAATCTGAAAATAAAAATTCTTGCTTTTTGACACATTATCTCTCCAGAACAGAAACTGTAAACATAAATCAGTTTTGTTTTTTCCTGGAAGCATAGCAAAATGGTTTGACTTTCCTTCTATTACGCAAGCAGAATTTAAGAAGAAAAGAGTACCTATGAATTATTATTGCATTTTCAATAGCTGTAGTAGATGCACTGCAGCCAAAAATCCATTTGAACTGTTTTTACTGTTTCTATAGAGATGTGTGTGGTGCTGACTTATAGTATATGTTATTAAAAAGTTTTTGGAAAGTCTTAGAAAGATGAACATTGTCAGGAAAACTTAATGAGAGAAACATAATTCTCTGAGAAGCCACTGAATGAAGTTTTCAATGGGGATATTGGCTGGCTATCCAAAGAAACTTTTTTAGCAGTGGAAACTTTAGTAAAAAGTTTAGCTATGTGTCTCAAGTCTCTCAAACATAATAACTGAAATTCTAGAACGTGACTCATGTGAGGATTAGAATAGTTTAATTGTAGGTGTATTCTACTGTGCTAAAAAAATAAGCTGGAATAGCAGGCAGTAGATGACACTTGGTTCCTTTTAGTTTCTTCTGATAAGAGCTCTGCTGATTTCTGTAGAAGATAGGTACTTTTTACTGCAGGGAAAGTAATGTTACCTGTTACAGGAGGTCTTCAGAAGCAGCTGTAAAAATATATGAAACTGGTTTTATTTGTTTCTTTGTTTAATAGTGAATTTCAGTCAGGGCAAGAATAGGTAAATATAGCAAGATTGATGTTCTTTGCAATATGTCTGCACACATTTATTATTAGCCTCATGATATCTTTGTCAAAGGTAACATATACATGGCAGTATTTGTTCCCTGATGGCACTTTACAGAGGATAGCCAAGAGATGTTCATCACTTGCAGATAATCGTGTGGTTGTTTTTTAAAGTTTTCCATTTTGTGCCTGTTGTTTCAACCTTTCTGTGTCTCCAAACAAGCACTTCTTTTAAAATGGCTCCAAATTACTTGGGTGTTTTTTTTGGTCCCATTTTCCTTCATCTAATATTCCAGGGTACTAGAACCAGACTTGGATGAGAAAAATGCACGAGAACATCTCTCTAGGTCTTGGTTTCTATGATTCCTTAGTGACTGTAGGACAGCTAATCCTAGGATGAGTAGCTAACTTAGTTTGCTTTCATTTAATATGGTCAGCTATGATGCATATAAAGCTGAATTTTTTGTTTTCTTTAAAGAACACTGTGTTTTGGCTAATGTAGAAGTACTTCTTGAGTGATGTAGAGGTACTTTTGAACATGGATATTGGCCATGATGGAAAATCAGGCTTTCTGATGAAGGCAGTGTCAGGGAAAGTTGGCTGTAAATATTTGAGCTGAAAATGCATATTAAGTCAAAGGTGTTTGTAGAATGTCTGATAAAGAAGAAAACAAAGATAATTGTCGATTTTATGTAAAAGTCTCAAGAAAGTAACAAAAAAACCCAACATCAGGGAATTTGCTCTTTACAGACTTCTCTTGAAGAAGCAGAGGAAAATTATAAAGACAATAACATTTAGAAAATATTTATTCTGTTTATCTTGCTATATACCCTTGTCCTGGAGCAGGGCATGGTTTGAGATATCTGTTCTTTACTCATCAAGAAACAATAAGAAATACCCATGTTTCTCCTTTATGCTCTTTGTTTTAAATATATTCTGATACAACAAGGACTTGTTTCCCTCACATTTAAAGGGCAGGTTTAGAAGCTTTGACATTCCTTCTGTTTCTGCCTGGGCAGTGAAAGGAAAATATTTGGCATGACTCCAATTGTGCTAGCTTAATTTGAAGGACCATCTTGTATCACCATGCTCTGAAAATTGGTTTCCATAAGTGATTTATCAAGTCTGGCCTGGGTAGCTGGATGGTTACAGTGCTGAGTCAATTAAACCCACTGAGGGAAATCCCAGCTCAATTGCACAAAACCTTTTACATCAATGGAGCCAGGATTTCACATTGTCATCCCCAAAGGTCCCATGGCATAGAAAACAAGGAGAGATAATCAGAAGTTGCATCAAAGTCTATTTAAGTTTCTCTACAATGAAAATTTTAAATTAATTTGGTAATCACAAAGGAATACGGCTTATAGAATTATAAATGCAGGATTGTAATTTCATAACCTATTCAGTGCATTAGCTTTAGTAATTGTATTATTGTTTTATTTATTAGCTTGCATTTTCAAAGATATTGCAAAGGTAAAGATTGTGATTGCAATTTACAATAAGTGATTGTTTTTTGCATTAAATGTTTTTGGTTAAGGGAAGAGTAGCAAAGTTACTGAAATAATGGAAAACCTCTTGTGAAACATCTTCTGTTTTGATTCCATGTGTATTTAGGAAGCTCAGTGCTAACAATTCCCTTTTTGTTTTTCTTACAGCTAATTCCAGTCTTCTTGGAGGTGGAGGAGGTGAGTCTTTGTTTAATGCTTAATTCATTCTTAAACAAACATGAAATATATGCTGGACCAATGCAGACGTTAGTTGGTTATAAGAGAATATAAGGTCGAAACTTGGAAATATAAATTTATTTGATGGAAAAAATTGCTAAAGTCAATAATCTTCTCTATCATCAAGAGGTAAGGTATGCAACTGGTGCTGAATTTGGTTTCCCTGGGTCAGAGTAGGGGCTGACACGTGTATGAGGCTGACTAATACATAAAGGAACTGCTTAACTTATGCTTAACTTTGGCTTATGCTGTGGTTTTTTTTTTAAGTATTTAGGCTTCTTAATTTATCCCAGGGGAATCTCAAATATATGATTATTAAACAATTTAAACAGAAATATTGAAATATTAAAATAGAGTAAAATATAATTTTAGTAAATGAGTAGGGCATTATCTTTATACTTTAAAATATTTTTATGGTTGAAACTTGGTTGCTTACTTCACTCTGTTTGCCAGAATAGTAGAGTAGATTTCGATACAAATCTTTGGTGCAGGTCAGAGATGCTACTAACATGTCTACTGGCAAGGCAGGGATGCTCAAGTACAGATCATTGTATTGCTTCCAAATACATGGATGCTGCTTTATTGTCGTAGATGGTTGGGATTTTACTTTTGGTGTTACTGTAGTACTGTGGCTGTAAAATCTACATGAGTGGTAACAATTCAGGAAAAATGAACCCATGAAGAGCTTGATCTCAGTTTTCAGTGACTTCCCCTGCCACCCAGAGGGAAGTAAAGGAGCTCAGTTCTGGAAATTTCACAGCGCAGGAGCGATACAGGCAGCAACTAATCTTCCTTCCTGGCGGGAGTTAAAAGAACTCTGTGATCAGAGCTTACATATGTAAGGGTAAAGGAAAGGGCTCTGTGAAAAGACAGGAGATTTCTGTTGCTTGTGAGGCTGCAGGATAAGTAGTCAAAGCTTTTGTTTTAACTGAACAGGCAGCTCTTATTTTGGACTATGAAGAGGTGCTTAATAACTAAATAAAATCGTCTAAATAAAACCACTCACGTTTCTCAGCTGTGTGTCTGGACATTGAAGTACAGGGCAGCCTTACCTGTTAATCCTGTTGGATTAATCTCTTTCTTTTGATTTGAGTTAGTTGTTTGCAGTATACCAAATTTTTCTTTGTTTAAAAGATAATCCTTTAGGAGGTAATCCTTCTCTAGCTGTTCCTGTTTCTGCAGAGCTGTTCTTGTACCTCCTCTCCAGCACTTGCTCCCAGCTGGTAACATGGAGAAAAAAATATAAATCAATGCAAATGTTCAAATTCCAATCAGGTTCCCAGAGCACTGCTGCTGCTGAAAGGATTTGGCTATTAACTTTCCATGTTATTTATTCAGCTGGACTGTACTTCAGAAGTTGATGTCTGTTCAGTGTGGCCCTTGATAATGTGGCTCTCCCTCTGCAGCAGATGGGATGAGCCTGTGCTGTGGGTCAAGTTGGGATTTTCCCTGTATTTTATGTGTTAAAAGTGGCAATTAAAAATATATTCTCTCCCCTCATGGGAGGCTGAGGTGATGGCAGCTCAAGGTGCTGCTGCCCCTTTTTCTCCTTCCTCCCTCCTTCCTCCTGCCCTGGCATCCTTTGGGGCTCTTATTAACCTTTTTAAAAACCTTCAGGACTGTGGGAGGTTGGGTTTGGGCACGCAGTGGGTTCCTCCAGGCACGGCTGCTGCAGCCCCCATGGCCATAACCCTAAATCCCACATCCTTTGATCTCTGGTGGAAAAACAGTGTACCCTCTTGCTTGTGGTACAGGTAAAATAGCAAATGTGACAGTTTTATGGCTTGGAGGGTGACTGCCCGTGGCTGAGAGGCTGCATTTGTGCCCATGGGTAGTGCAGTGATGTCCTCAAAGCACACCCGCTTGAGGTTTCCACATTTTCTGAATAAAAATCCCGATAATTTCATTGCTGAAGCACTCTAGATTTTGGACAGGCACCACGGGGTGTGTGTTTTGGAGAAGGGGAGAGTGTGTGGGGTCTGCAGGCCAGATCCTGCTCACAGGTACACAAGATGGAGCAGCCTTCGCCAGCCACCCACCTGCCACAGATACATGGAGTCTGGAGCCCCTGGCTTTTGGAAAAATAGCTTGGAACTCTCCACAGGCGTTTCTCTGTAGAGGGAATGTTTTCATTCCCAGTGGAATGGTTGAAGATTTTACATTCTGGGTGTATTTTTTCCTTTTATCCAGAAGAAAGTGACGGTAGCACTCTGTGTGAAATATTGAGAGTGAATTATTAAAACTTTATTATATACGTAAACACCAAAGCCTTCTTTTGATTGCAGATGCTGAATATTTATGATAATGCATAATACCAGTGTAGTTTTTCCAATAATGGGATTCAGATCTCCTCAGTAGTGCTCCTTAATTTAATCCCTCTGTCACTGCTGGAGGTATGAATACATGTCTTAGTTTTACAGAAAATGAAAACTGGAAATTTCCGCTTGTCCAAGCTTATGCAACAGGTGTTGTGATTTTGAGCTGTTCTGTGTTTGAAATCTTTTCAGAACTAAACACAAATTAATTGGGAATAGTTATTTGCACATCCTGATCTAATGTTTGTAGATTACTTTCTCTGGGTGTTAAAACAATTTTCTGGAAGAGACCTGCTAAAAAACCCAGTGGGGCAACATTGTGGGTGAACTTGCTTGCAGGTGCAGGGGCTGGTGGTTTTGGGTGGCTGCTTATCGTCCCTGTGTCACCTCAGAGCCACATCAGGGCATCCCTCCCTGTACTTTGATTTCCCAGGGCCAGAGCAATGGTTTGTTCTTGCATTCCTCATTTAAATGCCATCAGTTCATTTTTATGACTATTTGGAATGAAGAGATAAAAGCACAAAAGATACCAGAACCAATTTTTCACAGAACTGTTTAATCATAAAATCAAGAAACCCACAATGGAGTCTTTAGTTAAATATAGATGTTGAAGGTTTCTTTCTGCTTTTCAAATAACTCTGAAGTTTCCAGGATTTCATTATGAGTTTGGTGAGTGAGCCTTTTTTCTTTTTCATTCTTTACTGTTTTTAATAATTGATTTTTAATTAGGAGGCATATTTCACTTTCAGATCTAGATTTATCACACATGCAGCATCTCACTACTAATAACTTACATGGAGCATTGGAACTTATTTGTGCATCATGTCTTATTCGTCTCATTATGTTCAACACTGCAAAGGTGAACATTATTAATAAAATTACCTGCATTTGGAGGGAGTGAAGAAAAACACTTGGTATTTTGAGAAAAAGTAAGCTCTTTTAAAAATGTGTCATGAATTTTGACTTGAAATCAAAGTGTTCTATTTTGCATGGCACTCTTTTTTTCTTCACATTCCTTTACATTTGTGTCAAGGACTTAAAGCATATGATTTTATGTACTTTATTCAAGCAAAGTAAGCAAGAGCTGAGGTTTATCCTCCCTTATGGCTTTGGGTAGTCTGTGGGGATTTTTTTGGGTATTGTGTGCTGCTGTTCCCACCTAGTATTCAGTTATTTTCCTCATGGTTCATTTTTCCTGTACTTGATTTGCTGACTGTAATCATGTTCTTGTTGCATGCTGATTTCTGTATTGGCTTGATTTCTTTGACCTTAAATTGAGGGTATATTTAATTTGGGATTTTTTTACTCCCATAAGGTTTTGTTGCCTAGGCTAGAATTTGGGAAGGAGACATCACCTTTTAGTGTGTCCTATTACAAGCATAGTTTCTTTCAGCTCTGTACTTAAAACTGGTAATTTTGTCATTACAAACTCAGGGAGAGGACAGGTTATATTTGCAGTGTCTTGGAAGCAGCATTTAGATCAAGGTTAAGTTGGTTGCCCCAGAAGATCTGTCTGCTTTTCTGTTTCTCTCCATCTCTCTCTTTTTTTTGGCCAGTGTAACTATTTTTTTGTTCCTAGGGCTTTTTCAAGCATGGAAAATAATTAATTCTCTTATAGCCATAAGTATTTTAGCATATCTTGAATGTAGACCAGGCCTACCTGTCTGCCCTGCCAAGATACAGTTTGTAGGCAGAGTTTTAAGCAATTGTTATGGCATGGGGAACTTGTGTTCATGGTCACAGCAGGGAGCTGGGTTTCTCTGTACTTTGTTGCATAGACTCCATTTTCAACTTGGGATTTGCTGCTTTTATATCTATGTTATGTTATAATAATGACCAAAAAAAGTATTTTTTCCTGAAAGAAATTGCAACAGACTGACTTTTATCCTGGAGTTGTGTCCCTTCAAATGTGTCAACTGCTGTTTGCCAGCCACCCTGTCTATTTGTCAATTAATTGTCAGCTAATGAGCTGAAAAATCCAGTGATTATCCAGTCAGTAGTGTCAGGAAGGAACAGCTGACACAGATATCTTGACATCCCTCTCCTTAGCCAGGGATAAATTTTTATTCTCACGGCTGTGTCTTAGGTACATTACTCGCCAAGTCCAGCCATCTTCTCATAGTTAAATCTCTAGGGGAAAAAAAAAAAACCAAAACAAGAAAGGAGGTTTGGCACTTTTTTAATAGCAACTTGACATCAGTTTACCAAATGAATATTAATGATACTGAGAAGTGAAAGTTGTACAAGAGAAAATTGGAGGCAGGAATGAGACAAGTTGCAGAGCACCCCTTAGCAGTATATATAACAACAGAGGACTTTAAATACCAGACTTGCCCTGCACTCACCCATTCGAAATGTGTAGCAGGAAGAAGACAAGCCTGTTTTGTCCTAAACCAGGACTAGATGCTCTCTGTTTTGGATTTCACAGGGCTTGAGTTTGATATTTACATAATTTAAATGCAAGTGAAGCAGGGGTTTAAATCCAAAGTTCAAATTTGTGCATGATGTGTGCATAACATGAAATGCATCCCGTGAGAGGGAGAAGAAAGAGTTTGGGAAAGGAGCACTGACAGGATTCTTTCATCAAGAAAATAAGCGTTATTATTTTGTATTTTTTTTATGTCAGTCTGCTGGCATGTTCTTGTA